GAAAGAAACAGCCTCCATCACCCTGCTGTGAGTTCATTACCTTTGTAAATTGTGAGTTCATTACCTCTGTAACTTCCTCAGCTATCAAAACTTTGGAGTCCAGTCCCTGGACCAATTATGTACCTCTGTAATCTTTTGACTACCGCCCACAGGATGGGTATGGGGTGCATAATAAACATATTAAACTAACTAACTCACCCTGCTGTCAATGACCCACACCGCTTTAGCGCTTCATATAATAACTGAAATAAACAGGGTCAACAAATATATCTAGGAATTCCAGACTTTAAGTTACACGTTCTATTAACTTTCCGAGACACTAAGTTAACATGCTTGGTCTGCTGAAGAGGACCTCTGAGGGATAAGGAAACAAAGAGTACTCGTTTATTTGTTTTCCATATGGGTAGTGTGGCAGTGACTGGCGTTTGTTGTACATTTGTAACTGAATACTGTATATTCGCCAACTTACCCTTCCTTCCCCATTGTTACTCCCACAAATACACATTTACGATAGCAATAGGATACAGACCCCCCCCCTCCCTCCCTCCTCGCACATTTCTGCTTGAGGAATGTCCCACTCTACCTCCCACCTTTTCCTAATGTTAAAACATCTCACCCCCTCTCCTTACCCACTCTTCAAAGTTCACATGAACTGTTTACGTCTTCCCATCTATTGAGTAATGACAGGTGTTTTATACCATGCCTTCTCGTTAATAATTTTAAGAGGCTAAACTATGAAATACCTGTATATAATATACAGGTATTTTTTTCTGCGGAAGGCTGAAGGAGAGAGGAATAACGAGAAGTTAAAGAGAGGGAAGGAAAGCTGTAGGAAGAGTGGAAAAAGGAAAGGAAGAAAAGGAGGAGAACGAAACGGGGAACTGGGAAGAAAATGATAATGGAGCGGATCAGAATGATACGAAGAATGCAAAAGAGGACAACGTGGAAGATGAAACCGAGGAGGAGAATGTGGATGATGTGGAGAATGAAATAATCTGACCTTGCAGGCGGAGGCTGAGGAGGAGTACTTGGGCAGGACTGGGATGCCCAGGGGGTTGTCCAGACCAAAGAGAGGTGGACGGCGGAGCTTAGAGGCCATGACTGCTGCTGCTACCACACACTGAGGTAACACTCAACCTTAACTCCTTCACACACTAAACTTCAACACCACTTTGACTTTACAAAACCACAGTTAGTAACTTTAAGTGTTGACAAGTGTATCAAGATTCGGAACGCAAGGGCAGAGATGACTTTTGAAAAGGTATCTATAGCCTCAGCCTTTGATTACACACTACGAGCAACGTTACTTGAAAGTTTCCACGTAATCACCAGTTGGAGAATACACTTAAAGTAATTTTGGACAAAGCCAGTTAGTGAAACGAGAGAGAGAAATAACACACAACCACACGCACTGCTCTCCACAGAGGTTGTGACGTCATTCTTTGCTTACCACCCTGGCTCTTATATCACTGCCAGACGTTGCTATATCTTCCCGGTATATACACAGACGTATATTTATCTTAGCATATATATGCTGAGAGTTGAATTCAGTCCCTATTTAGGGACTAAAGTTTTCTCGTTTGTTGGTGGGCAAGTTACGTGCAGATTTATTGACTGGTTAAGTCGATAGGCTTTAAACCCCATTAATCAGCGAACCCGCCATGTTAAAATTTCCTTTATTAAAGTCCCATGCTATTTAAAACCATACATTCGACAATAATGAGAGAAACAGTAAGGAAAAAAATATACATTAAAAGTCAGTGAACATAATACCAGCTAATGCAATACAATAACACAAATTTTTACAACGAAGTCCTAATGTTTTCCACCGTTGTTTTGTGTATTTCTGTGGGAGAGACAAAGGTTTGTGTGTGTGTGTGTGTGTGTGTGTGTGTGTGTGTGTGTGTGTGTGTGTGTGTGTGTGTGTGTGTGTGTGTGTGTGTGTGTGTGTGTGTGTGTGTGTGTGTCTGTCTGTGTGTGTCTGTCTGTGTGTGTCTCTCCTACACTCTACACTGTACTGCTGCCACCAAGGAAATTTGAACGCCACGTATATAATGAACCTTGAACCAGAGACAAGTGGAAATGTTGTACTGTCGTACTAACCTTTAACTGCTCCTCCAGCCTTACATTTAAAACTTACCATATTACAGTTAAAACTTACCACCATTAAAACTTACCACACCATTACAATTTACAACACCATTATAATTAAAATTTAACACAATATTATCATTTAAACTTAACACAATATTATTAAAGCTTAACACATTACTATTAGTTAAAACTTAACACACGATTATTATTAAAGCTTAATACACCATTATTATTAAAACTTAACACATCATTATCATTAAAACTTAACACACCACTACCTATACAATTTACCATATTATTATCAATTAAACTTGTTACCCCATTATCATTAAAACTTGGCGCAACATTTATCATTTAAATTTGTTTCACCATTACTGTTAAAACTGAGCCTACCATTGTCATTAAAACTAATGTTTCTGGTGTATGATAAATAATATGGTTAATGGAAGGTACCCCTGATTTAAGTTGATCCAGACTTTATTCCCTAAAATGTCCAATACTATGTATACCTTGAGGGTGTTACGGGGGTCAACGCCCCCGCGGCCCGGTCTATGATCAGGTTTATTTTACGGAAGGTTAAGAGAGAGTAACGTAACTCAACCTAACTTGCCCTCAGTGACCCTTCGCCTGCGGCAGAAATGGCATTGGTGAGCGTTTACCTTTGTTTATACTGCTGTGATTGACCGGCCGCGTTACCCGACTGGTCAATGTTAAACGCTGACTGGCTCTGGCGTGCCGCTACTGCCAAAACAGATGTAATATTTTTCTCAATATCTTCCCCAAAAGACGTTGTTGTACAATAAGAACTGTTGCCGGGGATATATAAATTGCTTGTGTTTTACATAATAATATCACGCGGAAGGTCATACCAGCACCTAAACTTACTGTTGGAGGTTCTGCCTGGAAAGTAACATTGTTGGAGGTTCTGCCTGGAAAGTAACTTTGTTGGAGGTTCTGCCTGGAAAGTAACTTTGTTGGAGGTTCTGCCTGGAGATTAATATTGTTGAAGGCACTGCCTGGACACTACACCCGCCCACACAATCATTATACTAGATTAACTCTAGCTAGAAGACATTAGGTACCTCTTACGATTACATAGCCGGGGTTACCCTTGCGTCATCCTACTCGGCCAAGTTACCCTTAGTCTCAGTCACCCCAGGGTGAATCTGTCTCCCGGCTGAAAAGTGCTGCAGTACACGCACACACTCTCTACAATCCCCCATCCACTACCACCACGGAAGGTCTTTTCTTTGTTAAATGTAGTAATTTCTGCTCGTTTTTGTCTGGTCTTTGTCTTTGGTGAGGTAATCTGGGCGTGGTTTTGTGTGTGTGAATCCATTCAAACTGTCATACATGTACTCTACCTGTAAGACCAGTACTCTACCTGTAAGACCAGTACTCTACCTGTAAGACCAGTACTCTACCTGTGGCCACAATGTGTACAAGAGAGGGATTTTGAAGGGTTTGGGACTGACCCTAAGAAGCCTATGCCAGTTGTGGAAAGTATTGTGTCACTGGGGAATTCCATGGGGTTGGATGCGAGTTTTGAGGATGTGGAAGAGTTGGTGGAGAACCTACCTGTATTATTATTATTATAATCAAAAAGAAGCGCTAAGCCACAAGGGCTATACAGCACTCTACCTGTAAGACCAGCACTCTACCTGTAAGACCAGCACTCTACCTGTAAGACCAGCACTCTACCTGTAAGACCAGTACTCGACCTGTAACACCAGCACTCTACCTGTAAGACCAGTACTCTACCTGTAAGACCAGTACTATACCTGTAAGACTAGTACTCTACATGTAAGACTAGTACTCTACCTGCAAGACCAGTACTCTACCTGTAAGACTAGTACTCTACCTGTAACACCAGTACTCTACCTATGTAGCAAGTCATCTGCCTTTCCAACCATTCATCTACTTGGATAGGTAGATAAATGATAGCTGGTTACATACGTAGAGGACTGGTTGAATAAGTAGATGACTGGTTAAATAACTAGATGACTGGTTAAATAAGCAGACGACTGGCTGGGTAATCGGTCATCCATCCAACCAGTTATCCACCTAACAACCCGGTTATCTTCATCAATATATCCTGACTGCAGCAACACAGTCAGGATTCCTGAGTGTTGCTGCTGGAGTCAGCGTCTTTCCTGGCCGCACGGCAGCGTGACACTCCTTGGGTTTTGCCTAGTAAATACGGGAAGTGGGTGGTGTACCTGACACGCGTTAATCTATCCCCCGCCTGCCCTGGCTAGTTAAGAGGACGCAAGGTCTATTTTTAAGTCTCATTATGGCCGAACACGATGTGTGGGATGGTGCTTTGTGAGGCGCAGGTTAGGGTAAGGGAATGTGCTCCAGTAAAAGTGAATTTTAGACAAGGATATATGCCAGAAAGTGCCTCAGATCGCCCCTAACGTTTTTTTTTCGTGTTAAGTAACCATGGTTGAGCGAAACTGCGTACTCAACAAAAGTATAAATTAGTCGAATTGCAACCTCTGTGTGATTTGATAAAGCTGTAAGCAGGGCGAAACGTGGTGCCAATACACAAATAATCCGCATTAGTCAATGCCTAAATAAGGTCCCGCATCATAATGGTTGTTTAACTTGTTTATAGACAGAGTTGTAAAAGAAGTGAATGTTAGAGTATCAGTTAGAGCTGTGAACTGGAAAGATGCTATTTTCGCAAACTATCATAGTAGTATATTAAGGGGAAGACCTAAACCCGTAGGGGTATCATCGAGCGCCTGCCGAGTAGAAGGTAAATCAAGTTTAATTCAAGATAGGAAAAATTAGCTCCAATTCTCAGGATCAGGAGCTCTTCACCAGCTGTTCATAGACACAGATATAATGCCAAGATGTTATTTCTAATAATAATAATAATAATAATAATAATAATTTTGTGCATGGCAGCGAGGAAGTGCAGCAGGTTCCAGTTTGAGTGCCACAGCGGCGAGTGTATAGCCATCTACAACGCATGTGATGGCATCCCACAGTGCCAAGACAACACTGATGAAGACCCGGCACTCGGATGCCCTGCTGGTGGGTCATTATCACCTGTTGAATAGTGCCACACACACACACACAGACACACACACACACAGACACACACACACACACACACAGACACACACACACACACACACACACACACACACACACAGACACACACACGCGCACACAGTGGTATAGTGACACATTACGACACACAATGATAAAGTGGCACACAGTGCTACAATGCTACAGTGCCACAGCCGTACATATACTCACAGTGCCACAGTTGTATACAGTGACAGTGCCACAATTTTGCACATACAGTATCATACCTACACATAGTGCCAAAATACTCAATGCTAACTTTCTACATACACTCCCACTACTACACAGTGCCAGTGCTACATAATGCCACTGTGCTATACAATGCCAGTGCCACATAATTCCACTGTGCTACACAGTGCTATATATTACTATAATGCCACAGTGTTACACGATGCTACTGTGGTACACAGTGCCACAGTGCTACACAATACCACTGTGCTACAGTGCCACAGGGCTACACACAATGACACCAGGAACTCGCATCACCTGTTATTACGTCACTGTTCCCTCATGTAATATCTGAATAAAGTATATAGTATAAAAACATCGTCTTTCGCCTCACTGAGATTATATTACACTGCCACATATGTACACTTTCACTGTTACGTGACACTGTATATTATACATTGTATCCCTATTACGTAAAATTTGATGTGTGGATTGTATGTCACGTGATCTTTTTTTGCAGTGTCATGTTATATTTTGATGTGTAATGTAATGTCACATCTTGATGTGTAGTGTCATGTCATATCTTGATGTGTAGCGCCATGTTACATCTTGATGTGTAGTGTCATGTCATATTGTGTACGCAGCCTCAACGGAAGGTGCGCCATCTGTGAGACGACTGGGCGACGGGGCAGCTGGTGGCAGTGGTGAAGCCGTGCAGCCACCTGCTGCCACCTGGGACAACGTGGCACCTGCCAAGAGCGGTAAATCCTCACTCATCTCTTTCCCTCCACTTTGTGAGCATCTCCAAGGAGAATCAGGAAGAGTAGGTAGGATCGGGATGATCAGGAGGCGAGAGCAGGATTGAAATGATTTTACTGTCCATATGATCTTACCTACTACTGAATAATAATAATAATAATAATAATAATAATAATAATTATTATTATTATTATAGTATCTTATTATTATTTACTTTTCAAGGTAGTCCATGCATGTCGTAAGAGGCGACTAACATGCCAGGAGCAAGGGGCTAGTAACCCCCTTCTCCTGTATAAATTAATAAATGTAAAAGAGAAGAAAACTTTTACTTTTCCTTCCGGTCACCCTGCCTCGGTGGGAAACGGCTGGGGTGTTAAAAAAATTAAAGCATGGTTAACCTGTGTGGGCCATGCCAAAAACTATCTGCAAATAGTTAATACATTTATCACAAGCGTGTATAGGATATAGATTAAACATTACCTGCAGTTTAGAGACTGAATTCTGCAAGGTAGTATTGATGCATGCAGTAAGTGACGTTATGTTTGCATGCTTGCAGATCCCAGGTCGAGTGTGGACGTGTGGCAAGGCGGCTCCCGCTTCCCTAACTCCGGCCAGGGTAATGTGTTGTACTTCCCTGAACCCTTACACATCCACACACACATATACCCTTCCTATCTTCTTCCCTACCCTTAACCCTGTCCCCTCCCACGTAGGAGAGGCCCACACTAACCCCAGCTCAACCTCTCTCACTCCTGTTGGATTACCATCATAAGGAGGGAGTAAACATAAACTAGTGCATGGTAAGGTAAAGGAGAATCAAAGTGGTGCACTAATGTTTATCAAACAAGAGAGATGAGATGAAAGAAAGAACAGCTATGGTCACACCAGACATAATAGCTATCACTGAAACAAAGTTGACAAATATCAGATGCCATATTTCCAGCAGGATGCCAAATGTTAAGGAAAGACAGAAGAAACAGGAGTTGAGGCATGGCACTATTAATTAGAAATCAGTGGAGTTTTGAAGAAATGAGGGAATAAAAAGACTAGAGGAAAACGATTTTATAGACTGGAGTACTCAAAGTAGTATTTGCGGTGATATACAACCTGCCACCTAACAGCTCGAGATATCCTGGGAAAAGGAAGCAAAGAGTAACTGTCAGGAAAGAGACGTTAGACTGGGAAAGAGTAACTAGCGGGGTTCCGCAAGGATAGGTATTATGATCAGTACTGTTTCTGGTTCATATGAATGACATTCTAGATGGGACTGATTCAGATATATCTGTTTGCTGATATAAAACTGTATGTAAAGTAAAAGGACACAAGTGCAACTAATGTGACATTTATTGTGGCAACGTTTCGCTCTCCAGGAGCTTTATCAAGCCATTACAAACAATACATGGACACAGAGGGTATATAAAGGTTCAGAGTGAGGTGAATACTAGTGAGGTACCATTTCGATGTTCACTAGTGGTGGTAGTAGTAGTAGTAGTAGTGGTAGTGACAAAAGTAGAGCAATTAATTCGTACATGAGTAAAAGGATATAAAAGCTATTACTTGGGTAACATAAAAATAGGTTGGACAAATATAAACTGGAATGAGGCAGCTTGTTTCAGTGTTCACTCTCTGTGCTTTGTGTAGTATAACAGGAGAGACTATGTGATGGCAGGGTTTACTGTTTTCAGGAGGATTCTTGCTAAGACTTCGGAGATGGTGAAGCTGCCGTTGTTTTGTAGGCAATCTTGTAGGAAGTTGTGTCTGTTGCGATAGCTGTGAGCACGAAGAAGGGTGTCCAAATAACGTCTGCATGAAATGTCCATTATGTTGCGGTGTCCGACAGATTGTAATAAAGTTGGTAGAATTACCGACAATATGTAAAGTAAAAGGACACAAGTGCAACTAATGTGACATTTATTGTGGCAACGTTTCGCTCTCCAGGAGCTTTATCAAGCCATTACAAACAATACATGGACACAGAGGGTATATAAAGGTTCAGAGTGAGGTGAATACTAGTGAGGTACCATTTCGATGTTCACTAGTGGTAGTAGTAGTAGTAGTAGTGGTAGTGACAAAAGTAGAGCAATTAATTCGTACATGAGTAAAAGGATATAAAAGCTATTACTTGGGTAACATAAAAATAGGTTGGACAAATATAAACTGGACAACGTAAGGCCTCAAAGAAATCTGAACAAATTTCAAGAGTGTTTAGATAAGTGGTTCCTTGAATTCAACCGCACCTAAAGTCAGTTCCGGATCAGCCGGGCTGTGGCTCGTATGTTGGTTTGCGTGCAGCCAGCAGCAACAGCCTGGTTGATCAGGCTCTGATCCACCAGGAGGCCTGGTCTCAGACCGGGCCGCGGGGGCGTTGACCCCCGGAACTCTCTCCAGGTAAACTCCAGGCAGTAAATGCAAGGTCATGAAGACTGGGGGAAAAGCAAGAAGGCCTGAAATGGGGTATATACGAGACTCTAGTATATATCCCATTTCAGGTCTTCTGTAGCTCTAGTAATCAGAGCGACAGAGGCTACAGATTTCACTCATAAAGACCTAGGGGTTAGCATAGTTCCCAATATATCGCCAGAAGTTCAAATCAGCCAAATAACTAATACTCAGCCAATACTTGTCTGGCAAATCTCTAAGAGTAGCCTTCAGGAATCTCCAGCCATTCCAGTCGCTTTATACAACATACGTCAGGCCCATTTTAGTACAATGCATCACCAATATGGAGCCTGTACCTGAAAAAGCATGTTAAGAAACTGGAGAAAGTGCAGATACAACAAGGCACCTCCTGAGCTACGAGGAGAGCCTAATGGAATTGAATCTATCAACATTGGAGGACAGAACCTCCAGGGCAGGACATGATGACAACTTACACAATATTCAGGGAAATTTATAAGGTAAACAAGGATAGACTGAGAGGCGAGAAACGCGAGCTCGGTGACACAGCTGGAAGTTAAAGGAACAAATTAGGCACAGGGAAGTTATGTTTCTTCTTTCTCAGATTATTATTATTATAACCAAAAAGAAGCGCTAAGCCTTCTTTCTCAGAGAAGTCAGAAAATGGAATGATCTTGGTGAGGAAGTGGTGGAGGCAGACTCCATACATAGTTTAAAGAGAATGTACGATAGGTCCCACGAGGCTACAAGTGAGTGAAACTGAAGAGTGACAAGTTAAGAGGCCGGGCCAGAAGCTGAGAATCGGCCCATGAAACAACAAATAGGTAAGTACAAATAGGCGAGTACATATACGCGCACACAAAACGATCCCCTGTCTGTGGCTCAGTAATCAAGATACTCCACATATTTAATTATTATTATTATTATAATCAAAAGAAGCGCTAAGCCACAAGGGCTATACAGCACACATTTAATAATGAGGATAACATCACAATATTTCTCAGGACCACACTGACTGTCCAATAATAACTTACTGCCTATGCCGGATACTTTACATATCTCTCTTATAATATACCTTTAAACTATAAAGTAGATTTAGTTATTATTATTACTATTATAACTTATTATAATGGGGAACTGCTAAGCCTGTCGCGTTCATACAAAGTCTTTGGAAATAATGATAGACAAATAATTTCGATTCAAAGAAGTGGAAAATAGGTTCATTTCCTTAGATGAAAAGCTTCTTTTCCTTGAGGTGAAAAGTATAATGTAAGGATGTGAAAATGTGTACAAAACTGACATGACTTGAGCCATAGTGGTCTTGATGCTGCTGGATGTTGTCAAGATGCAACAACTGCTGTCACACGTCTGTGAGAGTTTACAAGGAGAGGTGGATGGTTGGTGTAGAGTACCATTAATACGTCTCGTTCTCCTCAGGGTACCCACCTGGTATCTTCAGTCATCGACCAACCATACTCGACACCTACAGCCCATACCAGCCGTCAGTGGGGTGCGTACCAGTGATTCACTTGTTCTGCGTTGAATTGCCCCCTCCTCTCCATCCCAGTATATATATATATATATATAATATATATATATATATATATATATATATATATATATATATATATATATTATATATATATATATATATATATATATATATTGTAAATAATGTTACTAACAATAAGAATAAATATATTAATGTTAATATATTACTTTGAATGGTCATATATAACAATCATGAGTTATAAATTGAATAACAGTAACCATCTGACTGTCAGATTACTTTGGTAAATCAATGGTACGTAACAGCTGACTACTAATGAGGATACTTATTAGCTAACATTACATGAAGCATTTCTGTACTCAACTTGTTACACTGATTTGCTAATCTAACTGCACATTTGGTGATCTGCGCATCGTTCGGTCAGTCACCCTTGTCTGGTCAGCCAGTGGGTGATTGATCACCCCTGTCTGGGGAGAACTTCAATATGGGAGGAGATTCTTGCCTCCGACATACATCTGCTGTTTTTTATGGTATTGAACCGTAAACGATCGCAAATCTCTGCTTATATTCTGTGCGGTAAACATTGGTCAGACCTGTTAACGTATTTATCCTGTTAGTATTAATGTTATAGGAGTCAGTCATTAATCCACTGGAGTCAAAATGTGCGTCTATATGTGAAAGTTGCTTAGCCACTACTGTGTGTTCTTGCTCCAAGTATGTGTGACCATTCGTGAATAGTAGTTATAGAATTTAAAAATAATTAAGCCATTCTCAACTTGTGGTCGTACGGGGAACGACTTTCTAAGCTTCATTTAAGTGGATAGATATCCATTTACTCTAAAGTCTATTCACATGGCCACAGAATGTAGTAATTTTTATGGTGACGCTTGTTATGGTGAGCTTGTTAAAACTAACTCCATTTTTCTGGGAAGGTGAGTTTCTTACGGTTGCCTTCATTTCATGCTGATTTTTTCCTTTTGTTTACTAGAACTGAGCAGTGGTCAGCAACTTACATAGAAGTTATTACCTTATTATATGTTGTGGTCATCTCAGTGAGTTTCACCACCACACACGCTTCATAACAGCCTTCAGTGAACTGGCTAGTAAGTTATCTCCTGATCAAGTGGAATAGGCGAGATAAGTTTGAGGTAGTTATTCCTCAGACTTGATAAGGTATACCTGGAGAATACATGGAGAGGGTTTCGGGGGTCAACGCCCCCGCGGTTCGGTCAGTGACTTAACTTTAAATGAAAATGGTCAACTATCTTAAACAAAAAAATAAGATTCTACATAATACTGACTGTATTCTGTTATCATGGGTGAAGCTCTACAAAATTTACTGCATAAAACTATTGCAAAAGTTTAAAATTATGCGTGAATATTATATTATAATCAAAAAGAAGCGCTAAGCCACAAGGACTATACAGCGCTGCAGGGCAGGAAGGAAGCGAGGGCAAAAGGGGGCAAAAGGGGGGGGAATAAAAAGGGTTCATCAGGGGGTGGAGTAAAAAAAAGGGGCAAGAGCAAAAAAAGGGTAGGATTAAAAAGGGATCATCAAGGGGATAAAAGGGTTTAAGAACAAAGAGTGGAAAAAAGGGGTCCTCCAAAAAGGGGAAGGGAAAGAGGAGTAGAAACAAACGCGGGTTAAACTCTGACCTTAAAATCATCCCAAAATTTCTAACGTACGAAGAACCCACAGGAAAAATGCCCTCCAGAATACCCTAGTAAGACGAGGTGGGCCAAACGAAGGCGGAGGAAGGGTCCCCCAAACTTCGGCATAAAGCAAGAAGGGGCCATAACCTATGCTCGGTTTAATAGAATAAGTTTGTCCCCGACGAGTTGCCCAACGTTGTTCCCAACGGGTGCGAAGGGGGGTACTATTGCAGCAAATATCCAAAAAGGAACCCCTCGATGGAAAATTGGGGGGTATATAGCTGACCCCCACAGTGCCCTGCCGTTCTTTCCCTGAACTCACATACCAGGGACCCAACAAAAAAACAATATTTTTTATTTTGGTAAAAAAGGGCGTACCAAAATTTGGGAACGGAAAACCTAGGGTGAGAGTATAAAATTTTTTGTATGCCGTAAGCACAAAGGAGCTGAACACACAAATGAGACACAGCATAGATGCAATACAATAAGTGCTGCAAGAATGGCATACATTTCACAGTAAAATGAGCTAAAATAGAAAATCCCTCTACGACCTTTCCGGAAACACGCTCGAATCCGACGCCTTGAAGATTTAAGCCTCTGTTACACAGCGGGGGCATGAAAGGGAGTGGAATGATCAAAAAAAAAGAAGGGGGAAGCCACCTAGCAGTTGGCTTTCGAAAAGGGGATTGAAAAGAACAGACCCAAACACGGGAATTTCCCGGGGGGGGCAGGGAAAAAGGAAATTGCAAAAACATATAAAGGGAACTGAAGGGAAGACAATAGTAAATGGGGGCGAAGAAAAAAAGGGAGGGGAAAACAGGGGCGGCGAAAAAAAATGTCTCAATATGGGACCATTCTTAAAGGGGAAGGAATTTGTAATGGAACGACTAGTAACAAGGGAAATGGGCATCACGGCATCAGACAAGGAGGGAACATTTGTTTCGTATAGAGGGCTCTCAAAGGGGAAAGGGCGAAAACACCAAGGAAAACGTACCTTTGGGTGATGGAAGATTTAAAGGGCTAGAGAGAAGCAAGGGGCCGGGAATAAATCGGGTCCCCATAAACATTTCGATAAAACGGGGGCTGAATTAGGCGAAGCAATTTCGACGATCACTCCCGGGAAAGATGAGCAAGGTTTTAAAAAGGTTTACCGCGTGACAATTTTGTTCAAGGGGTAAGTGGGGTTTCCGGGTTAACCGACGGTAAAAAGAGGGGCCCTGAAACCTACTGTACACTTGGGGGATAGGGGAGCCTGAGAAAAAAGGAGATCGGAGAAAAAGAGCGTCAGTGAAAGTAATTTGGTGATTTTTGGTATTGAAAATTTTAAACCCCCATTGGGGGGCCCAAGGGGAAAAAACCGGGGGTCGACCGCATCGGAGAAAACTGAATAAGGGGTGAAAAACAGCGCCCCCACAAGCATAGCGAAGTCCACATAAGTGATGCCCAAAATAGGGGTGGGAAAACAAGGCCAAATCATTTATGCAAGGAAAAAAGTGTTGGCTTAGAACACACCCCTGAGGGACACCTTCACTTACAAAGTCCGGGAAAGAACATTTTTCCCCAACAGGGAAATTCTGTCATTAAAAAGTTCTTAAGGAAGGAGGTAGATTCCCCGGGGGCCCTAAGGAATGGGGGCCGGGCCCAAAATATTATCCCCCATTTGTTTTTATGTGAAGAGTAAATATAAACTTACAAAATCTGAATCTTCTTTATAAATTTTTTTCTATTGTTTCCCCTTTATTAAAACATTCATAAGAAGTAAAGTCGTATAGCGAATGGGAAAAAATGAGTTTCGATCCAAGGTAGGGAAAAGGTGCCTTGGTTCAGTCCCTTCAGGGGTAAAACTTTTGGGTTATTTCCTTACATTTTTTCTTTTGTTCACCTAACATAAGTAGGTCCTGGGGTTATTTCCCGTGGGGGGCGTATGGGGGAAAAGACTGAAGAACCACAATGCAAAAAAACATCCTCGATGACTTATTGACTGATTGGGGTTAGTGGGATAACCCAGAGAAATAAGGCACTCTGACTTTTCGGGGTTATCCAGTTCTCAACTATGTATGTTGATAATTATGTAACTATTTGGTAACCTGAATAAATTTATGTGAAAAAATTTTCCCATGAAATACCTTCCGTACCATTTTTTTTTTCACAGAAAACAACTAATCAGCCATTTCCTCATAAAATTTTTTTTTCCAATTTCAGGTCGGATGAAGCCAGTTTACGGGGGACGAGGCCCCCCCCACGGGTTCTACGACTAAAATCAGAGATCTGCCGGGGCGGACCCAAATAAAGGGTCAGTTTGCCCACAGTTTTTTATTTGTTTTTAAACTTTATATGGAGAATATATCTTTTTTGTTTGTAAGTTTACAAAAAGCAAATTACACAGATTTTTCAGTGTTTTAAGTACATAAAACAGGTGCAGTTAATTAAATAACCCAAAATAATTACTTATTATTTTTGGGGGTCTTGTAATGACTTTGCAGCCAATGGGAAAATTTTAAACACTTACAGTCCCCAAACTTACAGCATGAAGTAATCTCATGGGGGGGTGAAAACCCAAATTTGTTTACAGTATTACCCCGGTAGAAGGCGAAAAAAACTTAACCAAACCCCGGGCACGCAGGTGCCCCCTTCGCCTCACAAATTTTCCAATCTAACCCTAGACTATACCGAGACTAAGGTTTTGGTAAAAACCAAGGGGCATAGCGTTAAAAATAATTGTGGACTTATTTAAATCGGACCAATTAAAAAGGTGGGGGGGGGGTTTTTTCTAACATAATGAACTACCACTTCCCAAATTTTTTCTCTGGGGCATTTGATTAGCGGGATCACCCACAACCTATCATTTTTAAAAAATACCTAACTGGTCAGTATCAGTTTCTATAACTAAAAAGGTTACTTAACTGTGGTGGTTGACTCCTTATTTCCCCATCCATCTCATTTCGATGTCCTCTACACCAATAGGGTTTCTTATTTCAGCGGGGGGTATCTTTTTTTTGCCCCGGGTTAGGACCGTGACTTCATAAAACCCCACATCCCTGGGCCCGGGAATCACAATTTAACATTGCCCCACTCAGGGAATGGCGGCTCAACCTTCAACCATTCCTTAACTTTGTTGTTATCACGATTTCACTACAATTTCACAAGAGACTTAACGTCTCGTGAATTTTTACACACTTAGAGGCCCTCCATTAAGATTAGCTCGATGAGCTCGATTAAATAGCTGGAAATCTTCCCCCGAACACTTGTCAGGGCGTGCCCCTGGGACCCCTTTGGCATCCCTCACTATTTACAAATTTTACCCTTTTTTATAGGGGCCTGCAAATTATTTCCTTCACTCTTCACTAGGAACATTATCATTCCTATTTAAGTGGGACCCATAATCACTTTTCACCGCGAACCCCCCAATTTCCGGGTTCCAGTTAACACACACCTCCCGGGGCCTACCCCCCAACGAACTCCCAATGCCCCATCCGGCCTCCTCCGCCTTTGGGCACGGCGCGATTTCCCTGTTGGTTTCTTTCCATTTTCAAATACATTTTTGCCAACTCAACAATTAAACACCTTTAGGTTTCAAAATTTTGAAAATTAAATTTTTTCCACAAAATAAGAAAAAAAACAGTCATGATTTTAATAAAACTAATTAAGTAAAAAAAATTTCATATATAAATTTAAAAAAAGGGAATAAAATAAAAATAACTTATTTTACTATTACACTACTTTACCCCCCTTCTTTTTACCCCCCCTCTTACATATGCCTCGGGCTTTCGTGTTTTTCAGGGCTCATTTGAACCTGCAAGCCCAATGGATCGAAACATATCAAAATTTTCCTTGCCTGGGTGCAGTTGTTAATTTTAATTTTAATTCTATTTTTAATATCGCATTTTTGCCAAACCACAAAACTTTTTTACCTCACTAATGAAAAATTTTTTCAATTTCAAAACTTTCACAAAAGCTTCTTTTCCCTAGGCCTTTTTTTCCATGCCTCTTTTTCACTATACATGTTTATTCGAAATCAGTGCACCTCCCCAAGCTT